TGGTGTTCTTGATGGTAGCTATTCTAACAGGAGTGAGGTGGACTCTTGGTGTGGTTTTGATTTACATTTCCTTTATGTGAGCAACTTACTTCATCTTCACACACCCCTCACCCCAGTTATTTTCCTTACTTTATAAAAACGGAATAATTTAGTATCTAGAAGCATAGTTGGCTTCCAACTACTTAAATTTCTATACATTTGGATTAAGAAGAAAATGAAAAATAACATCTCTACATGGGGTATCAGAATAAGTTGTTAACAGTTGACACTTTGATTCCAAATAGTTTATCTTTTTTAAAACCAAAATCATCTCCTCTCCTTTTAGTGTAGCTCCTCATTCATATTTATTAAGTAGGGTTTTTAAGTTTCTTGCCAATGTGATGATTTTCATGTTTAAAATAGATTTTTCTCTTGTTTGAAAAGAAAGAATTCTAAATGGGTAGATCACATATAACAGAAAAGGAGAAAGAAGAGTTATAAGAGATGATTTTGGATTTTTAAAAATACTAATGTTTTTAATGAAAATGGTAAATGGTAGCAATGTTTTCTCACCCTTCATACCTAGTGTACAGTTTGTGTTCTTTTTAATCATAGGATCAAAGTGAGTAGAGATTGGAAAACTTTAATGTTGATATGATTCTACAAGCTAAGAGTTAATAGGTTTACTTATCTTGATTTATTGGTGAGAAATTTCTTTCCTATAGAAATGTTTCCATTATAGCCATATGAACCTGGTCCTTAGTAAATGCCTTATTGGCTAAATATTTTTGGTTGGTATTTATTTAATTCCCTGAAGTGAAAACATTTTTTACTAACATGTTTTAAAATATGATAAAACTTGAAATTTATGTACTTACTTCTAGATCTTAACATCAAATCAATCATTATTTGTTCCTTTGAGAGATTGAAGATACTTCTGTCTTTTTGTCATGTTACTTACAGTTACATTGTTCTAAAGACCCCATGCATAATCATCTTTTGAAGCTAGATAAGTATATAACATGATACTCATTTTTGAGATTGTGACATTTTATACTTCTGGTAAGGAGATATATTTTCATATAAATGATCTTAAAGTTATCTATACATTTCAGGTGCTGTCTTTGAAGAAATAAGTCCACTGTGTACACTAGTTTTGTTTCCAATCTGCTGTTGTAGGATACCATATTTTTTGGGTGATGAAAAGAGGATTATATTTTTAGATAATATCTAAGTCATAATAAAATATTTCATATGCCAAAATTAAAGTAATGTGATGTCAAGAAGAATATAGATGAATGTAAATCTAGGATAACTCAGTTTATAGTAAGTTATGCAACCTACACTGCACTTTTTTCACAAATCTAAACTTCTAGTAATGTTTTCTTCTTCCTTCAAACTAATTCATCCTAAAGTATGTTTCAGACACTGGGGAATACAAAGATGAATAAAGCACAGTCAAGTGAGGATGAGACCAGTCTGTGATTAATAGGTAAGGTGAAAGAAAAGCATCCAGAAAAGTTGTAGGCTCTCCAGAAAGAAAAATGAATTCTGAGAGGGAAGGTAGAAAAGAGGTAAAACTTTATGTGAGAAGGTCACTGGCTATAGACATTTTATGTTGGCAGCTGTTTTTTTTTTTTTTTTGACTACCTGTTTGTTTTCTCTAGGCATAACAGGAAGGAATATCATGAAGGAGAACAATATGTATAGTGATACAAAGTCAATTTGAACAGAGTATATGCATATATGGAGAAAAGACAGGCAGGGCACAGCTGTGGCAGTGTAGATTGAAACCAGTTATGGAGTGCCTCAAATTCTACAGGAAGTTATCTGGATTTTGTAGGCAGGAAAAAGCTTTTAATGGAGGAGTGATAGAATCAGTGTTGTGAATTTTAAAAATGTAAGTAGTTAGCATTTTCTCTGGAATTGTGGGTTTCAGACAGTGAGCTAGGAAGGCAGAGGGCAGAGGATGTTTCCTTATTGATTCATTGTGACTTTACTGAGAACTGCTTCACTTGATACTGTGAGTCCATTTGCTTGAGAAAATTTGTTTTTACCATTTGCAAGCACGCTTGTCAGATATCTGAGGGACATAAGATAGTATTCTAAGCTCAGAAAGTTGTACTGTATTGCGCTTCCTTAGGTAGTGGCAGCTAAAATGATTGCTGATCTGATTAAATGGATGACAGAACAGGGAATTCAGAATGACATGATAAATTTTGTTCCACTATTGAGTAATACAAACAATCACTTCAAATGAATGGAAATACGAACATCAGTATCTACACATGTAGATCCTTTGTTGTGCTTATTTATATAATCTATTAATTAGAAAAGAGCTAAAAAGAATTCCAAGAATGGTATTAGGCATATAGTTAACTCTCAATATATATTTAAAACAATTTACAGGAAGATCAACCACCAGCATAATTATGTGTATTTGCTGAGGGTATTTCTGTAAACCAGAGTTTATTCTAGCAGTATCAGGAAAGTCATTTTATGGTTAGTGCTAGCAAACTCATCTAAGCCAATCAATAGTCAATATTCATTTAAGTCCTACTCTGTGTAAAGCATTCCATAAAATGTGCTGCATAATGATAAAGAACTAAAAGACCATATTCTGGAAGAGGCTCAATGTGCTTGAATGTTGCACTAATTACACAAAATGTAATCAAAATATCTCCAGATGCCAAGCACCAAATGAATAAATGACACCTGTTGAAATTGTTCCAGGATTCAGGGGAAGAGGGATAAAGGAGAGCGATGGAAGGTGGAGGGTGAATTCAAGTATGATGTATTTGATATATTGTAAAAACCCTTGTAAATACCACAGTGTATCCCCACCTGGCAGGAAAATTAAAATGACACTATGATATGTAATAGGCCTGAGAAATCATTTCGATACTGTATATCAAGAGCAGCGTTTCTAAGCTGGTTAGACAAAGTACTGTTTGCACTTTAAGGCATATTAGTTGATTGTTTCACAAAATTAGGAAAAGAGCCACTTAATTTCCTTAGGTTGTTGCCCTCCCAGAGAATGAGTTGCCTCATTAACCATGCTTTGTGATTTTTACCAGTGATAAATGCTTGTGTAACTTGTCTCTATGAAGTTTCCTGGTAATACATAAAAATGTTTTTCAAGATATGTTATTAGTTCATTTCCTCTCTCATTTGTCTAATGTGCCTTATGAATTCATTTTTCAGTATCAGTAGATACTTGAATGTATTGGTATTCCTTTTCAGGTATGTTCTTAATGTTTTCATTATAAAATATGGTTGACTTATTGTTAAATTAGAGCTAATACAGCAAATTGTTATTTCCATATCTACCTTTTATTTGTTACTAAAATTTTATTAAGTATCTACAGAGTTAGATGTTCTGTCATAAAAGAGTAAATTATTGCAATAAAATTTACATTTCATTTTCCTGAATGAATTTTAAATGTATTTATAACAGAAACACTAAAAGGAGATTTGATTGCAGAAATATTTTCTGGTATCTACTCCAGCAGCATGCAAAGAACTTCAATTAAGAATGACTTCAAATGCTCATGTATCAAGCATGTATTTGTCAATTACATGCTTTGTCAATTAAAAGGCATTTTTACATGTATTTGTCAATTAAAAGGCATTTTTTAGATTTTATCGAGTCTTGTCATTCATATCTGTTAGGAAATTTCTCCTCTGTAGCAAGGTTCAAAAACTTTGCCATGTTCTGTTATTTGGCCCACAGTCAAAAAAAGCCCATGATAAAATCATTTCATTTAAAGATCTATTTTGTCATAATGTAACCACAGTGTATAGAATATAATGAGGGTAGACTTGAAAAGTAGAAACTGGAATTAAAACATAGGCCCTAGTTTTTAGCGTAAAACCTTAACGCTATAAAATTAAGTACTATAGCTTTGAAGTACATACATTGATATATTTCAACTGTGTTCTTTAAACTCATTTCCTTTCTTATTTTCAGTTCATAGGCCTTTTCACTTTTTCATTTTAAAGCTTTAACACCATTTTAGAAATAGAAGGGAGAAAAAAAAGTGAGAGATCACTGACTGAATTATCCAGGACTATTCAAATTACAACTTGTGTTATACCATCTTGCATCACTATCAGTCTACCTTTTAAATGAGAATTAATAAGAATTTATAAAAGGAGTCCATGATAAAAGTCTAGTGATTACATACAGATCTTAAAATATGTTTAATCTTTCCTTGTGACTGTCTTTACGTAGTTATCCTCTCATTTTCTCCATTTTAACTTGCTCTGATTTCAGATTGTCAGAGAAGCAAAGAGCAGTTTTGACAGTTCATGTAGCAAGACTGAAAAACCTAGAAATCAGAATAACTCTAATTCACAGTAATTAAATGCTGGTTCTCTATGGTACCTTTATGATGAAGTTACCCATTATGGCTTGCGTTGCTCACAAATTAAAGATTATGTATAAATTTGCCTGCACTTTGAAAGCCAGAACAGGTCTGCAGTTACCATTAGCTAGCACTAACATTTGGCCTTGAAAAAACAAAGACATTTCTGATTCTTCTCATGGACTATTGTATCAGGAAGTTTAAAAGTTTCTATTGACACTAAAGAGATATCATTTAGGAACTCCCCCCCACCACTGCTTTTTGGAAGGAAGTGCAATAAGAATTGGACCAGCACTGCATTTTTCTGTACCCAACCCTATCTTTGCAATAAAACCCAAGCATATTTGGGGTAGTATCCTACCTGTTTACTTATTTGGCTATCTGTATCTGAGTTATTTAAGTGATAGCATTGTCTTTCCATGACATTTAAGAATTATACTGTATCTTTTATTTTTCTTCATATAACAGGCTACTACTTTGGATTGTAGTGAAACATCACTACGGTACTACTGACTCCTAAATAAATTGTATTATATTGACATAATTTAAATAAGCTGACATTACATAATATCTCCTAAATTCTAAGAGCTACTATTGTTTTAAGAACCTTCAGGAGTTAAAGTCCTAGAAACTAACTATTTGATTTACTTTCAGGTCTTTTCTAATGGTCATCTTGGAAGCGAAGAATATGATGTTCCTCCTCGGCTTTCTCCTCCTCCTCCAGTTGCTACCCTTCTCCCTAGCATAAAGTAAGTGTTATTGAATTAGGAGATTATTTGTTCATGCATAAAGATGTGGGAAAGAGTGGTTTTCAGGTTGCCAATCTAGAAACTACAGGGTGAAAATAGAAGAATCAATAAAGAAAAATAGCATTCAGTTGGATTTGTAAACTCAAGTACCTAAAATCAAGACTTTTTTATTCTTTCCTGGTAATCACAGCTTCTATGAAATTTATTAAACTGAAGATTGCTTATACAGCAATGGACAAGGAAGCTAACTATTTCCTACATGGAAGAAGAGTGTAGATTGGCACAGTGAGCTCTCTGTTCCTGAGGTGACACATTTTCTCCTCACTATCTGGTTTGACATCATAAAGCAGTCTTTGGTTCCTCCAAGCTCAAATCCATTGAGCCCCTAAGTCCTGTTCATTGTTCCATACAAGTTTTTCATGTTCAGCTAATCTTCCTTGTGCCTAGCTTTGCCTCATAGCTGAACTCCTGAAAGAGCCTTTTATCTATTCATCTTATATGATCTCAGGGTTAGTATCTATGGATGTAAAGCTAGAAAATGAATTAACCCTTGTGTCTCACTTGAACAGTGGATACACAGGCCTACTGGACAGTTTCATGCTATGTATCCAAGTTAATACATGCTGAATTTAAGTATCCCTATTCTTATTTTCTTGTCCTTTACATGAATCAGTCTGCCTGCAACTGATTTAATTTTTGTTCTGCTTTCCTTGGGTCTCTTTCCCATTCCAAAACCACTATTGCTTCTTCTTTTCTATTAAACTGACTATATTCTATTAACTATCTTCTGCTAGCAATAAGATTCTACAGAATTTTATACTACTAAAATATTTTCTGATTCCTAATGTTTACCCTATAATTATGTCTGTATATGTTTCTCTCTTGGTGAGTTTTTGACACAGGTCCTTCCTATGCTCTACTTTTTCAAAAACTTCATCCCAAAGGTCCATGTGCCAGCCTCTATTCTTTTTTTTTCTTTTAATGAAAACTGGTATGACTTCTTCTGTGTAGTGATTAAGACTGATTTATTTTCCATACAAGCAATTATGCATTCTGCTATATGGTTTTCTCATTTTACTTTATTGTGCTAGGTGGGGTAGTATTTACAAAGGTTCTTACAATGTATCAAATCTATCATCCTTGAATTCACAACCGCCACTGCTCTCCTTCATAAAAGGATATAGGGTTTCAAGGTTAATAATAAAAAAAAACTTGTCTGTATGATCTAATTCTTCCATGGAGAATTTGATTGCTTGATTGATTGATTTTACTTTTGTCTTACAAGGTTCTCAATTTTCGGGAAGGGTTGAGAAGTGGGATGGCTATGCTGGGATTGAATGCAGGGCCTTGTGCAAGCTGTTTAAGTACTCTTCCATTAAGCTACATCATCAGCCCAGAAAGTTCCTCACTTACAAATGAGTCTTGGAGCTTCTTCATTCCTTTTCTGTAGTTCACTGAACTGCCACTATGAATATGAAGGAAGGATAAGCTAAATCTCAGTCCCCAAGTAATTTACAATTTACTTTAGAAAATAATATTAATATACATGAAATAACTAGAGAACATTCTTCACTAAATCGTGTAATGCTAACTTGTTAGTTTTATATGAGTTTATTATGTAAACAGCATAAAATTCTGAAATAAAGAAAAATAAAAGCAGACGATATTCCAGACCTTACTCCAGTATCAAGTGTTTGTCTTATTTTGAAGAAGCTAACTTCTGTGGACACAACCTACCTGATAAATAAGAGAATTAGTTTAACTTAAATCTTTTTGACCTTCAGTTTCTTCAGTTCTACACAGTGTGTTTTAAAGGTTTACTCATCTTTTTTAAACTTGGTTGTTCACATCCCATTGCTGAAACTAGTCTGACTTGGACTATTGTCCTTGGAAACACTGTTAATGTTACAATGTTCAATATATTGTTGTATTTATTGTATCAGTCTTTTGTCATTTTTATAATTAATGGCATATAATTTATATTATAATATCCAATACATTAATAATATTGTAACATTGGATCATATATTATCATTATAATAGGCCTAATTTGGCCTAAGTGTTTAGTGACAGTAAAATGAGTATAGATTATCGATTCTGGAGGGTTATAGAGCAGAGATCTTAGGAAAATGTCACCTACTGAACTAGAGATTTTGGACATTCAAGTACCCATTGCTGTGTCAGGCTCTTGGTTTATGTTTCACAATCTGGTCAAAACAAAATTAGAAATTGCTACCTGACACAAACTTTCAGTTCTAAGTTGAAAATCAGTTTCATAATAAACATTATATTGTTACAGATATTTATCAACTTGTGATAGTCAGATGTTTGATACTGGTACAGTGATCCCCATTTACTTGACAACAGAGACTTTACTGTGATAAGGTTTCCTTTCATGCTAAATTATATCTTTGTGTGCTTCATTGTATAATTTATGTTTAGTCCTAGAACAATATAGAATTTCTTTCTGAAAAATAATGTGGAAGTGAATGGAAAGTTTGTTTATGTAGATTTTCTTAATTTTTCAGAAAATACTTTTTCTAAATGGTTTCTATTTTACATTGATACTTAGCTACAAATATGAAGTTTTAGGTAAATGCTTGAAACAGTTTATTATTTTAATTATAATAACTTACTGGAGAGAGAATAAAAATCCTATATGGATAATTTCCCTTCATATTTAAATTACAATAATTTAAAATATGTATAAATATGTGATAGATTAAATTATGTATTTGCTAAACTATATTTGTTGAAATAATTTCATTTTTTAAATTTAAACTAAGTGCACAGTTAAATCATAGTTGTTTTACTTGACATCTTATGTTGACAGGCAGTGACATTATTATAAGTAATAATGGAGTAATTACTTCCAGGTAAGGTAATGTTCTACAGTGCTGAGCAATATCATTTCTTTAGAATATTTCTCTGTGTCTTTAAATTTGGTAATAGGCCTTTTGTACTTTTGGCATGTTAATGTTAGGCTTTCATGTACCTATATATTACTTGGCTCATATTTTTGTAGAAGTTTTTTTGTGTTGGAGGTACTATTGTACATTTGTACATGTATATGTAATAAGGTACATGGAGATGCAACAAGAACACGATAAAATCCTTTACTCTTTGGAATTTATGTGAAAACAAAGTAAACATTTAATAACTATATCATATGTTGTCAGCTAGTGGTAAGTGCAAAGAGGGAGGGAGAGAGAGAAATAATGACAGACAGGTTTTTACTTTACATGAAGTCCTTAGGAAAGGCTTCTCTGAAAGGTTGATATTTAAACAAAAACTCAAAAGAATTAAAGAAGTAAGCCATGGAGTTATCTGTGTGAAGAGTGTGATCTGTGTGAGAACACAAATACAAAGCAACTTCGGCTCTGTTTCTCCAGCCTAAAACAATTCAGTGATATTACTTATCCTTCATACTTACTTTAAAGCTTAGGTATACCACACTGCCTTTTCTTTAATATCATGAAAGAGTCTTTAAAATTAACATTATAAAATTAACATTTAGGAGAATATGACTTATATGTTTCCCTGTGTGCAATAATCATTTCAAATATTGTTATATTTTATTTTGCCTTTTCTCTGAGCTGTGCTTTGTTTGAGTTAGGCATGTTCCTTGTGTTTATAATAGCATAGCAAAAGAAATAGAGTGATGTATGTGGCAAGTTTGAGTTTCAGTTTTAATAAAAAATATTTTATATCCTTACCTTCAGATGTTAGTAAAGGAAGGGAGATTGTTATATGTAGAAAATAAGCAAAATGATGTATCATAGTTAAAATGCTTTTTTAGACTATGAACAGATTCTACAAATGATCTTTTTTTATTACAACTTGTCTTTTATTTCTCTTATAACCACTCATTATTTTTGTCTAAAAGTTTATAAGTGTTCAGTAGCATGTGTACTATGCCATGCTTTGGTATACTTAAGAACTATTCTTAAACATTTTGCAACTCAAGGGTGAACTATAGTATAGAAAACTTATCAGCAAATGAACATATTGTAAATATACATAATAGACAAAATTGAGGCTCAAAGAAAATTACTGAATTTGTGAGGCAGTTTCATAGGAGTTTCTTATATATGCAATGAAGATGCATGTTTTTGCTTTTTGTGTTTTCCTGGGAAAGTTGATGGGGTAACTGAGGTGCTAGAAATTGCTCAGATTAGGAAAGAATACCCTTTATAAGGGTGATGTTTGAGGTGTTAAGTGATAAAGTTAAAGGTATTGAAATACGAAGAAAGTCACTTCCTCACACTAGGAATATAGAATGTTCTGGAGGAATACATTTGTGAAATATAGATGTTACTAATTAAGTACAGCAGTAGATAATACCTACCTGTGCTGGCCTGGAAACTCTTCTCTTTCTTGTTGTGCTTTAGGTGTGCACATGTGGAAAATGAATGTGTCTCATGGAAGGCTCAAATAACTAATGCACAGTGAATTTAATAAAATGTGCAGATTAAAAGGAGGATAGCTTTGCTGTCCTTGGAAGTGTGTCTTCCTGTGCATTGCCAGTGTATTAACTCTGGAATGACAGCCACAGAGCAAACCACAGAGGGAATGTAATATGTTAATATGAAATTAAAGTAATCGGGCTAAATGATGGGAGTGTGCACTTTGCATCTTTAACTTGGAACCAACAAAATACGTAAATTATTCTACTTTGTTTTTATGATATCCTAAAAATTTCCCCAAAATGATTGAATTTTTCTATATCCTGTAAGTTAGAATTCTTCTCTACTGCCAAGAGTAACATACACGATTGATACTAATTCTAAATCTAATCATTTTACCACTTACTTAGTTGGAAGTAAAATTGAGGATACTTTTTGAATGAGTTTGTAGAACAAAAAATTTTTCATGTTACTGCAAATATTGTAATGATTTACATAAATTTAAATGTCTTTGGAATTTTATATACTACTTCTTTATCCTATTTGTACCTTTGTCTTCTAGTTTTTATTTTTCCTTCCAGAAATAGATAAGATCATTTTAATAAAAGATATGTAATACCAAATATGCTGGAAGGATGATATACTTATAAATTGGCCTATTTTTAATCTAAAAATGTTATGTTCTTAAATAGAAAATTTATATTAAAAGCATAAGAGAAGTAAAATCTCAAACATTAGAATTTTTTTTGATGGGACTGGGGTTTGAACTCGGATTTGCCCTTGCAAAGCGGGTTCTCTACCATGTGAGCCACACCTCTAGTCCATTTTGCGCTGGTTGTTTTGGAGATGGGGTCTTGCAAACCATTTCCCAGGCTCACCTAGAACAACAGTCCTCCCTATCTCAGCCTCTCTATTCAGTAGGATTACAAACATGAAACCACTGGCATCTGGCCAGGAACTTTTTAAAAACGGTACAAAATGGGACATACAAGCATTTTTTATATTTATATACATCACTTGACTTTTTCACTTCTGGATATGTCATCCAAATCCATTTAAGAAACAATTTGTAACTAGTAGGTTTTAGCATAAGCCCTTTTTATTCCATAAAATATTAAATAAGCATTGCCTTTCATTTTATTCAGAATTATTCAACCAGTTGATTTGCAGCAAAACAAAACAATGAGTAAAATTTACTTATGCAAAATTTTCTATCATTGAAGGTAAAATATAGAATTAGCCCCAATAGGTGTGATTTTAAAAACTGTCCATTGTTGACTGATAATGAGGTGCTTCTTTGGAAACTATTAAATGATTGGTAGTAACCTACAACTGGTAGATAATAGGACATTCTTGACATTGATGTGGTTCTGTAATATTTGGCCAAAGATTTTCTTTTTCCTTTTTGTGGTATATAATTGATTTGTGCAGAAAATAGGATCCATTATGTTAAGGCATAGAAAGGTTATTCATAGTTATCATTTCATTTGGTGATAGAACTCACTCTGGTCCCTGAGTTAGCTAAGTTGATGTCCACATTTATAAGAATTTATGAAAAAATGATGTTCTAGATCCCTGTTCTGATGTCTTCAAGCCTCCATTCTGCTGACCCTGCACTTCCCTACCTTCAGCTGGGCAGTATATCTTCTAAATTAACCCATATTGGGTACGACCCTTAGATTTATTTTTAATAATTATTTTTAATTATTATTTTTAATAAAGTTCTTAGCTTTGTGCTCTGTGCTATGACATCAGATCTGTCACTGCAGCACTGTGCTTTATCTCACCATTAACTGTTATTTGAATTCTAAGGTAGCTGTAACAAACAGCAATTCAAAGACCAGTATTGAAAACTGCTTCAAAGAAAGATAAAAAATAAACTTAAAAAATTCTACAGGAGATTTTTTTCTTTGATCTCTGTACTTGCTAGAAACTTAGATATATGGTTAAAACTTGAAGCTTTAGGTTTTTCAAAATATCTTTCTGTAATGGGCACAAAGAAAAGCCACTAAATTGTTTCCATTCTCAGAACTCATTCAACATCACTAATTTGAAAACATGAAATCCAAAGTCTGAAACTTCTCTTGTCCCAAGCTTTTCAGTTAAGGGATACTCAACTTATGGCAAGAAGTGAAAATGGAAGGCCTGATGGCTTCATATACCAAAGGTCTCCTGCTCCCTCTACAGAAGGTGCTACGAAATTGCAGTCATTTGAGTTATGTGTTCTGTTTTTTTAATGAAATAGATTTCTTATGAATTTTACGATGACTAACAAGATGATTTGGGTTCGTATGTATTTCCATTTGCTGGCAGACTAATAGACTGTCTTATAGTTGGCCAAGTTGGTTTGTGCATCTTTCCTTTAGCAATTTTCATTAGCATCAGCAAGTAGCAGCAACTATGAAATAAAGTAGGTTTTTGTTCACTTCTTTGAGTTTGTTTTGTTTATTTACCCAAATGAATAAATAAAATGTTTGAAAACTTCTTTTCATATTAGGTAATTGTTTCAGTCATTTTAATTTTTGTACCTAGCCAGGAATTTTAAATCATAACAATAATGTACTACAAAGACCTAAATTCTCTCATTATCTGATTCTAATTATTCCATTTATTTTTAGTTCTTAGTTGTTTGCAGAAATATCTGACAACTTTAATTATCATTTTACGGGAGAATTAAGTTTGATTGACTTAAGCTAGATTTTTTTTCAGCTATCACTAGTATTCACAAGAGACAAAACATTTGAGACTTCTGTAAAGACTTCATTAATGTATAAAACTAAACTACTGTATATGCATTTGTATCATCTTGCTTTACCCATTTGTTTATTATTTATTAATGTTTTGGTTTGAGTGATTTTTTTATATTTTCTTTATAACTCTGAGACTAGTTTTGTATTTCTCAAATACAAAATGTTTATAATTTATTTCTTGTAAGTATGAAAATTCTTTTATTCCATCAAGAAAGTCTTAACAAAAGATCGGAAAACATACCCATTTGCATTTAGTATAAAAACAACTCAGTTACCCTGTAACAAAAAATGAATGCAACAAAAGAGCCCCTTTGCGGTACTGGGGTTTGAACTCAGGGACTCACACTTGCTAGGCAGGTGCTCTACCACTTGAGCCACTCTGCCAGCCAAAAGAGCTTCTTTGATTTAAGTATGTCACATCAGATTTTTCTGTTCGGAATATTTATTATGCTTAAACTGGATTGGATTTTTTTTCCCTTGGTAGGTGTACTGGTCCGTTAGCAAATTCTCTTTCAGAGAAAGTAAGAGATCCAGTAGAGGAAGATGACGATGAATACAAGATTCCTACATCCCATCCTGTTTCCCTGAATTCACAACCATCCCATTGTCATAATGTAAAGCCTCCTGTTGGGTAAGAATATAGGCAGCCTTGTACCACCTTACAGCACCATTGGCATTACTATTTGTGGGTTTGTTTTTATGTACTTGAATTATGTACATTTGAATTAAAAATCCTTGATTTCCACTCAAAGTTTTATCTTCCTTTGTTATAGTTTCTGCATTGCTTTTCAAGAAAACTAAATGTAATGGAACATTTGTTAACCTCTTCCCCCCAAAAAAATAAATTATAGGCTTATAAAATGTGACTGTACATTACATTTAATCATGATTAATTCAAGTACTTTCAATAAACAATGTTAGTGAATTTTATCAATTTCAAGCACACACATCATGAAGAAAAATTAGTGCTGAAAAACTAATACTAAGGTGTTATGCCAACTTTCCTTAGAATTTTTCTTCATGATATAAAGAGTAGTATAATTTATATTAATTTTGTTTCTTGGTTTGCTACCTGCTTCCATTCAGGTCTTAAAGCAATAAGAAAAAATAAAAAACAAACAAATATTACTTCCCTCAACTTATTTTTTTTTAACCTTCCCTAGTCCCAGATAAGAAAAAAGGAATAGTGATTTTGTTTTTTCTTTCTGTTGCTGGTTATTCTCACTGTAATGGGACTATCTTTAGGATTTGAGTGTCAGCCACAATGAAGTATATAGGAGTTATTAATAGTGGATTATGTGTAGTGAAATACTAGTTTATCTTTACATGAAATCATTTTGCATGTGTAGATTGAATTAGTGAACTATCATAACATTTTTATCTGACATATATGAAGTACTCAATTAAATCTTAGCTTCAAAACTAATTTCCTGAGCTCCAGTTCCCCTCGCATAACACTCCTGAAGCTGTGCTTGGCTTACAGATAAGGGCTCAGCACATGTTGATGGCTCTACTGTCCAGGGTCTCATGACTGACTGAGGGATGGGAGATCCATTGAACTCTGTCATCTGTGCCTTCTTTACATGTGTGCCATTTCCTTAGGAGGTCAAGCCAATTAACTGAAAGCACTTTATAGGTGGAGTGGTCCACTCTTTGCAGATGAAAAAACTAAAAAGTATTTTAATGGCCATAAGTATCTCAGTGAGGTAGATAATGAAGTACTTGCAGAAGAGAAGTAAATCTTCATTTTAACCAGAGTCTTAATAAGTGATGCTGCTTAGTGATATCATCACTCTGCAATCCAGGGCTTCATTTTTCAAAGCAAGAACCAATGTTCTGGCTAATTGCTAGTGCTTCAGACATTTGTTGATAAAATAGGAGCATCGAGAGACAAAGAAATAACTGGGAGTTCAAGCATTGTATCGAAACAAACATATGTCTACTGATCTATTACAGAAAAAAAGTTTTTCCTTCTCATCAAATATAAATTGTTACAAATTTCAATTCTCGTGGCTCTTAAAAAGTATAGTAATTTTTAAAAAACAGAAATAAGATGAGCTACTTTGGTCTTCCTCAGAGTCTCATTTTTTTCATGACTGGAGGAGTAAGGGGCACAATTTTAATTTGTTAAATTTTAATTGTCACATCATAGTGGATGAGATTTTGGTGACAGGCCTCTTGGATCCTGAAAGTAAATTTGAATTATAACTATCATTAACATATTTCTACTGTTATGGCAAAATAATAAATGTTAATAATCCCTAAGCTTAATTGGAGTGAATTCTTTACTTAATTTTTTCCTGAAAGATGATGGATGAAGTATTTTATATCCTCTCCAAAACACTTTTTCAGGTTAACACTTCCTTTCCCTGTGTGCTTACCCCCTTTGGAACATCAGGAAAAGTAAATTATCAAAATATATGGAAAATGAAGCAATAAATGAATAATTCAGTTCAGTTTCAGTAAAATCCATACTTATTTTGAAGGTCCAATATATGATAACTATTTTTAAATAAACTATATCTTTCCCCTTAAAGAGAAGTGGCCATCAGAGAGAACAGAAATGAATTTCAGGTGAAGCACTCTTGCAATATCTATTCAAATATCTCTGCTATCTCCTCCAGTATGTATACACTTTTACTTTGATCTAAGAATTCAGAATAATTTGAGAAAAGTAAAATGTAAACATACTTTGTGTAGTTCATTGTTAGACAGTTATTACGCAGCCGGATGCTAATATGCTAATGGCAGAGTATGCTCCCCAGCTTCTATTCCTGCTGTCTTGTCATGACCCAGTTTTAGCCATTATGTTCACAGTATAATTAAAAAGCATCACTACCAGCCTCAAAGAGACATGCCTTTTTTACTGAATATTACTTTATACAAACACCCAGATTAAAATACTTATTATATACCCAAAGCCTTTAGTAAAGTCATTTTTCCAAAGCATTGGCAACCAGAGGTTTGCTTGTAACAGTAGTAAGTAGTAGTATAAGCTCTAGGTCTTCAAATATTCCTGCCAGAATTTTAATGGAATTACCAGAAGTTTATTAACTTTGCTTACTTTTATTTTTATTACATAGAAAGTTTAATTTGTATAAAATGTAATATTAAATTCTATAAACGATTAATGACGCCATTGAAACTGTTAGATATCTTTTGCCTTGGCACATAGTTCTTTTACTTCAAAAAAACTTGTCCAAGTATTACAGAACTTCCAAAGAGATACATTAATTTCATAGATGTATTAGGGTACTAACAGTTTCTGTGGCCCTTGTATAGCCTTCTGGAACTGTTTTGTTCACATTTAAAAGAGAGAGACACTGTTTGTTTTCAGAAAGATATTTACTTCTGATTTTCAAAATAAGAGTATCTGTATCCTATTATTGGAAGAGTCTCCAAAAAAGATAATATATTTATTTTCATGCTGTATTATATGAACAGTGTCTATTTTCTTCAAACCCACCCCCAACAATGGCTGTTAAATGGACTTTTAAATCCTGATATAATTCTTGCCCTCTGATCTCTGCTTCAGGTCTTGTGATAATGGTCATTGTTTATTGAATGGAACGCATGGTACACCTTCAGAGATGAAGAAATCAACCATGCCAGAGTTAGGCATATATGTAAAGGGTATGTATGTATGGAATATGTTTTATTTTGCTATGAACATATTAATGGTCAGAATTTAAAGGCAAAATTCCACACCATTTTTGTACTGAAAATACATGAAGGTTTTGTGTTATCCTCTAGGAGATGTTTTTGATTCAGCCTCTGATCCAGTGCCATTACCACCTGCCAGGCCTCCAACTCGGGACAATCCAAAACATGGTTCTTCACTCAACAGGACGCCCTCTGATTATGATCTTCTCATCCCTCCATTAGGTTGAAACTTTAAAAAAAAGTTTTTAACTAAGACCCCCTCCTTACTGTTTCTCTCCATATCTGCATTATTTGAATTAAGAAATTCAATGTAATACAAACTCACTGGGTTGTGAATTTCCCTGAAATTAGAATGGGTTCTCCAGGTGTTGGTGGTTACTTCCAAGTTCATGTGACCATTACACCACTTACATTGTTTAACTAAAGGGTTGGGTGTAGCTCAGTTTCGAAGTACTTACTACCTACCATGTGCAAGGCCCTGCGTTCCACTCTGAGCACCATAAGAAACAAAATAGATGACTAAAATCATGATATGTGAAATGACTTTAAGTTGTGAAACTATAGGTGATTTTTGTATTTTTGTGTGCATGTAAATTTTCTGTAATAACAATATATTTTTTTGTAATCAGAACAGAACTATAAACTAGATAGTTTCTGGCCATGCCTTTGCATTACAATTCTCTTAAAACTAAAAAGACAGTAGTAGTGTAAAATCTGACCACTTATTGGGATTCTGTCAGGTAGTCACTTCTATATTAGATACAACCTAAAGACAGAGAACATTGTTCTTCCTGTCCCTGTGTTCCTGTGTTCGAGTGTTGAAGTGTTAAGTGAGATTTTCTTCAAGTGTAGTGATTTATACCTTTATTTAAGCAAGAAATGACCCTGTCTCTCTTAGGCTAAATGTAGAAAAGTAAACACTTGTTTATAGATAACTGAGAACAAGTTGTTTTATACTAATTATTACACATTCAGAGAATCTTGTTTTGTTTCAGACTGTAAGAAACACTGTGTGTTTGTGTGTGTATACATGTGAAGATACACTTAGGTATGTGTGGATGTTGAAATTGTTGCTAGTGTCAATGTTAACTCTAGGTAGGAAGCTTCTCACCATAATTTTAGAGGAGGAAGACAGATTCTCCACACGTATAATGGCTTCCCAATAATAAGTCACAATAACATAAAATAATGTACAATAAAGGTCATTTATAAACTTTTCTGAATTGGCTATGACACTATCAGAAATAGGAAGTGAACTTTTCTATTTTCTCATAAGTAGCATGGACCAGTGTTTTGAATTGCACAATTGCAGTGAGTTTTATTCCTGTCCTCCCTGTAGTTCAGGGCTTTATTCTCACCAACATTAATTATAAGAGCCCCTAACTTTCTTACCTACAGACTTTTTCTTCTTTGTGCTTCTCCCTGTACACTGATTATCTAAGCCTTTATGGCCTAGATCATCACTGTTCAATAAAAATATTTTGGGGGACATAAGGATCTGTATATTTACCTATGGTTAAGTGTAAGTGAGGTTTTGTTCATTCAGATGTAATATACTGCCAGGTATAATGGTACACACCTGCATTCCCAGCTACTCAGGAGGCAAAGGCAGAAAGGTGAGAGTTCAAAGCCAGCCTGTGCAAAGTTAGCAAGACCCTGTCTCAAAAACAAAATGTACAACTAAAGGGCTGGGGGAATGGCTCTTACCTGGCATATGTAAGACCCTTTGGTTCAATCCTCATCACCACAAAAATAAATAAGTAGATAAACAAAGAAATAAGTGTGGATGATGGCTAACTTTATAGGATAATGTAGATAGATGTTCCAGCCTGTCACTTTACATCAGCCTCCCTCTAGTGTTTCTTGTGCATTTCATTCTTCATTCATACTATTCCTTCTGCTTACGTTTTGTACATAAATGTTTTTGGGCCCTGTGATATTCCAGATTGTCCTGTTCATCAGCACTTCATTGAATGCCTCTTGTATACATTTGTCTTCTTTCTTCCAATGCATTTATCTCTTTTATGGAACTAGTCAAACACTTTCACCTGTGAATCATACATACTTAGAAACACTCTGTATCCTTTCATGGAATCTAAGCTCCTTGGATTAGAGACTTATGATTTTGATTCTCATATTACTCAGTTTCCTAGTACGATGTCTGATATTTAGGCTGAAAAAGATTTGAATATGATAATGTGATAGATGGCTAAATATTTTAATAATAACACTTTCTCAACTATATCTTCAAATATTTTAAATTAGAAAAATATTTATGATAAGAAATATATTGTAGTATATATAAGGTAATCTCAAAGAACGGTAAGACCATTTTTTAAAAAAAATTCTTTATGTTTAAGTCATTCAACTTAACCACATATGAATTATTATTGGAATAAAACTGCACAGAATGCACTTTTATTTTTTTTTAAACAATCAAGGTAAGGAAAGCTATGAGTAGACTAGTAAGATGTAGCAGAGGAAAAATAAGTAGACATAAAGTCATGCTGCAATATACAGATATAAGTAACTAGCTTTTAGACCACAAAAAAGAGACCTATATTTAAATGTTCTTTTTAGAACCTTAGTTTAAATGAGCTGAAATCCAGTGGAACAAATTTTATGGGATGATCAAAACTACTCTATGATAATAAATTATATGTGCATGGTATGATTTTCTAATTAGAGCCCATGAACTCTTTTTTGTTGCACAGAAACTTCTGTTTTGCTTGTATGACTGGTAATAAATTTTAGTTCAAAAGTTCCAGTGTCCTAATATTGTAAATACTACAAGGAACCATGAGCTGTTTCATAACCTTCAGTGATGTTTTTCTGGAAAGACCTGGGGAGGTAGAAAAAATTTGCATGGGGGCAATTGAAATGTATGTGTTTGTGTTTATTCTCCAGCCACTTGAAAAAAATAGATACTATTATTATCAGAGTCAGCGACCTGCTTGATAAATCCTGCAAATGAATTTATAAGCAGCAAGAGAAAATCAATCATTGTTTTTGTCTGATACAGTGTGTTTTGATTAATGAAGTTCTGCTGTTGATATTGACCTTTCTTTAAACACAGGTGAAGATGCCTTTGATGCCTTCCCCCCCTCCCTCCCACCTCCCCCACCTCCTGCAAGGCACAGTCTCATTGAACATTCCAAACCTCCTGGCTCCAGTAGCAGACCATCCTCTGGACAAGACCTTTTCCTTCTTCCTTCAGGTAGGAGGTTAAAAAGCAAAAGGAAACTTCACTTAAAAATATTTCTAAGCTCATACTATCAAATAGATGTTAATAATCCCTGGTTTAATACCACCCTAGCAAAAATACTCCTGGGTGTTAAGAGTAGCATTGGAGTGCAATTTGTTTGTCAGTTGATTGATTTACTGCCAAAAATGTTACAAAGATAACAAGAACAATACAGAATCATAGGATTTAGAAATGATGCAATAGAGATAACCCAATGCACATAATCCCTTTAGATTACAAAGGGCTCCCTAAAAACCAGAATGGCTAAGTAATTGGGCTAACAGAAGGGGAGAGAAAATTTGGGCTATCACTGTTCCCAATGTAATTTTGTTCTAATAATAGCTTTTTTTTAATTTTACAAGATATGCCTCAGTGTCACAATTTTATTCAAATCATAATATTTTGGTAAATTATATTATCATACATGAATAGATCATTTTTCTGGAGAATGAGCTTTTTATTTTTGTTGCTATTAATGCTTCATTGCATATACTCAAATTATTTGTTTTTAAGGTAGAACTAATATATTTTTATATTAGTATACTTTTAGATGTTTGAAATGAGAAATAGAAATAAAAATGAAGAGACAAGTTAACTATCTGTTTATGTTAGAATTATCAGGGAAAAGAAAATATATTCATACATTCAGTTGTGTTGGATCTGCTGATACTAATATTTCCAGTCTTTTAGTGATAATATAATCTGTGCTCTAAAATTTTTGCCTCCTGGATTTGGTTTGGTAACATGAGGTAGAGACTTTATAGCCTTGTATAATGGTGCATGCCTGAAGTCCTAGCATTCAGGAGGCTAAGACAGGAGGATGTGGAGTTCTAGGACAACTTGGACTATGTAGTGAGACCCTGTCTCAGGCAAAAAAAAAAGAGAGAGAGAGAACATTTACTTTTTACACATTTCCACCTGAGATAAAATCACAGACAACCTTTCAAAAGTGCTCAGTTTCTCCTTTGTCTACCTATATGCCTCAGTGAAAACATGGGACTCTTAACCATTATCATTTTTCTCTATTGATTACTAGTCACTTTTAACATTTGTTTTTTCTGGGTTTTTTTCATTTGGTTTGAGACACAGTTGTGATCATATAGCAACATATACGGATTCACTTTTTTAAGTGGTTTATTTTTCAAGAGCAGTTTTCGTTTGTTTTATTAACAGCATCATCTAACCCCTTTTTTAGATAAGTCCTGGTCCCTGTTGCTTAGGAATTCTCTGGATGCCACCAAAGAACAAGCATCACAGCCCTGCTGAGACAAGTAGAAAATATGAATAAGTGCTTAGGCTTTTATTCACGTAGCTACATATAAACACTGGTGATATATTTTCCTATTTTTCCCTTACTCAAGTCTTTGTTCTATACATGAACTTTAGCATTATTTTTTTTCATAAATGAAACATTCTCAATCTTAAACTTTAAAAAAAAGTTTTTAGATGCTAAGTTCTAGTTTCTGAGTAGATCCCCACAACATACCTGTCACCTTTTATAGATGCTACATAAGCCCCAGTAGATAAAACCTCAGTATATCAATTTTTTTTACAATAAAGCTAAGCTTTGCAAGATTCAGAGGAGAATATATTGAGTGTCATTTTGCAATGAATTGAATACATTATGCTGTCTAAAGAAATACAGTGGAAGATTCTTGACAACAGGTCTTCATGCTAAGAATTAAACTTCATGAAAGAATACAGGTGCCAGAGTTCAACTCATAGTTTTAGAACCTTAAGCATAAACAAAGATGATTGTCCAGCTTAACCACACTCTGTGGGCATCTGCCATTGCTGTTTTCTCTGCTGTCAGTCTGTGATATATTAATCCAGTACAGTGGTAAATGGTTTCTAAATATTACTGAGGTTAGGTTTCCTTGAGGAAATAGTTAACCCTGATTAAAGACATAGGGTTATCTTAGAAAAAGATGTTGCATTTTTCCCATGCTATTACATTAAATACCTAGTCAAACCTATCTCTTTATTCAAGCACTTCTTTGCACTTTATCCAGTCACTTCTTTGCAGTCGCAGTTTTCAAATTGCAGGTCTGTTTCTACACAGGAGCCTCATGATTCCCATAGGATCAAGAAAGGAAGCCAAGCAGAGCCATGCCTCTGGTTCTTCTTTTATGTTTCCCATTTTAGCCTTTTATACAAGATTTCCTTTGGCAAAATAGCAACTGCTGTACATGAGCCATCTATTCTGGACAGGCCAATCATATCTTAGCAAAACCTGGAGTCCTCAACAAAAGCTTTGTGATTTCTTGTCTCCAAACTCAAGGCAACTGCTAGCACATATGTGCTTTCTTCTATATTACAAAAAAAAATCCTTTTATCCTGGTTGGTTGAAATAGGTTCCCCTCCTACAGCTTCATGCCAGGAACCTGAACTTGAGTGAGAAACAAAGCAAGGGCAGCATTTCTGTCTTGCTCATACCCTTTACTGAATGTCTATGCAATGCACAAAATATGCAGCCCTTATTTCACTTTTCTTTCACAACTTTTCTAACCTAGAATCCCTTTTGAAGTTCCTATCCAATCTTAAAGTCATAATTCAACTCTAAAAGCTAGGAAAATTGACTTTATTAAAGGAAAATAAATTTTTCCCCTTGGATTTAGAAATTATCTTGCCTAAATAAAATGCAAGGAAAAGCTACATCATTATAAACAGTTTTTGAAAGGATTTAGTGAACTTTTTAAATACAATCTTCATGAAGTACTGTCATAATGTGACAGAGCTCCCTAGTCAGGGAACTTGTGCTGTTTAGAGGTAACACAAAATGAGAGGAGTGGAATCCTCAGCAGTGTTCATCCGCTGTGGAAAACACTGCATTCAGGTATTGAAGAATTAACGGGCAAGAGTCACAGTTATATTAACTGTCACCTCCAGATCAGCAGCATCTGCAGCAGCTAGGGATTTGCTTTAACATGAAACTCAGGGAGTAATATTCAGCAATATGTCCTCACAATCCCTGTGCTTATTTTGTGTCTGATACATGTACACATTTTAGTAGCGCTGAGCTAGGGCGTTAGAAAGAACTGTAGCCAGGGTTGTAAAGGAAATTCATACTTCCTCAAGGAAGCAACAGTGGATTAGAGGAGCTCAGGATGCTTAGCTCAAAGGAGAGAATACAAGAACCTTGGATGTGTGTTAGAATTGTCCTATCAGTACTGTCCTTAATTATAGTATGCCCTAAAGAAAGATGGGATTTGTTTTCTGTCACCTGAGAAGGTAGAAATAAGACCAGGAGGAAGTATTGAGAAGAAAATTTCATTCATCATATGAAGAAGTTCCTAAATTATTAGGAATTGTACTTTGGGATTAGTGAGTTCCTAACCCTGGATGATTTCAACCAACAGTAGATAACTTTTTATTAGATATTGTATGAACATGAATTAAAGAATGAGGGTAGTAAAGAGGGGAGAATTTTTGTCACCTAAAAAGCTGACTGAACTACTCTAGCAATTAGATTTTATGTGGGTATATTCTTTTAAAATCTGATAGACAACTGATAAATTTTGTAGATTATATGTTACAACAATGGCACATAGTTTTAATTGTTCGATTTTATTTGCCTCTTTTTCTGCACCTGACTAAATTTTTGAAAGTCTTTCAGATAGTCAATAAAAAAGGAATTAGAAAAAATATTCCATATTATCTCCTCCAAAAGATAATCCTTGATTATCTGTCCAATTTTTTGCCAATGCATGTATGAGTTTCTACTTACGTAAAATTCATTTCACATAGTATATGCTACCTGTAACCTTTTTCCATTTCCTATGTCATGAGCAGCACTAATGCTATTAAATATTCTTACACAATATAATTTTAATGAATGCATGGTTTCTTATTTACTTAGCCAACACTTTTCTCCCAGTCTTTAATTGTTTTTATAATCTCTAAAATAAACATTAAATTTTCAATTTTGCAGTACTGTGCTGTAAATCACAGGTAGTAGTACTTTGTCTTTTAGAACCGATTGATCCCATTGTATATATTCATTTCTCAAATGTTTATTACCTTATAAATGATACATTTACGTTTTAATCCTAAATGGGGACATTAAACTTTGACTAGTTTTTGAAGAATTTAGTTTTGAAAAGCTTTACTGCTTTTCAAAATTTTCTTATCAGGGGACAATTGGTAATTATTGCATCCTGTGTAGTTCTTGTGCTATATACAATGTCTTTCCTTCAAAGCGTAAATTCTTCCAACCTTATAACTTCCCAGTTTACCCTGTACCTAACCAATAGCATTGTTAGTATAAGGCAAGACAGAACTACATGGTGGTGATTGAACTGAATCATAAGTATTTTTGGTACTTATAATAATATTTTTAGTATACCTAGTGACTTTTTAAGTAAAATAGATTAATGTAATGTAGTACAGCTCTGTATTTTGTAGTTTATGGTGCTGGTGTGTCTCCACACTTTACTTTTACAAAATGTAGATGATTTGAAATGGTGTAAGTATATGTGATAAACCTGTAAACTACCTCTAAGGAAATAGCAAGTGTATGTATTGTAAAAGACAATCTTTCTTCTGACTTAATGTTATATCAGAGGCGTTCAGAATGCACAATAGACTACAGTACATTTTACTGACTATTTAATTCTTAATGTTTGGGATATTTAAGAATTTATACAGAAATTACCATATTTGGTTCTTTTGATTGTTCTAAAAACCCAAAAGATCAACTATTTGTCACATGGAATTTGTTTTACCTTCTCAGTCCTTCCTAAAATATTTCAACAAAATGAAGCTGGTCCGTTGACTCCAAATATCAAAAGCTAAGAATCTGGTAGTTATTTTAATATTGAAATTAATGAAAGCAAGTTTCTAGCCTGAGTCAGAAAATCCCCAGCAAAGCTGGTGATAATTATTTTGCTCTAAAGGGGATTAAAAAAATGTAGTAATTAACTAATAGCTTTGAATCCTGCCTTACATTACCTAGTCAAAAATTAGTATAAAAAATAGGCAAATTTTGAGCATGTATTTTCTCTTAAATATTCATATTCTTATATATCCTTAATGTAAAACCCAAATGAATAGTAAACCAAGAAATAAAATTTAGGTGTTTTGTTTTTTAACAGTATTAGTGCTTAAATTCAGGGCCTTACACAAATTTAGTCTATTTAATACTTACAATCTTAGTCTTATGTTAATATCAGTTTCATTTGCCTGTTTTTCTACATTTAAGTTCATTTTGGAAGTGTTTTAGATAATGAAAAAATTCATCCTGCTGCCTCCAAAAGATAAGCATTGATATAAATTGATTTATGCAAAATTTGTATCTGCATGTATATATTTTAATTAGCAAAATATTCATTAAATGCAAGCTATTTGCCAAGCAGCATGCCGGGTGCTATCTTTCCCTTAAGAGATATTATTTTAAAGTATATGAATAAGTTAAGATCCTGCCCTGAAAAGAACTTAGGGAAATTTCAAATAGCATTGAAAGAAGAAAGTAAGATGAGAGAGGGATCCAAGGTGGAGGTAATGGCCAGATAAATTATTAGTGAGCCAGAGAGTCAGAAGTAGTGTTCATCTATTCTTTAAACAAGTCACCTCTCATCTTTAAACACATATTACTAATTTTAAACCAAGTAAGCATATGCTTCTAGTTTTTAAATAGAGCAACATTGAAAAAAATCTTTGTGTTCCTTTAGTTACAGTTAGTAAACATTGCTAGAAGTAGTAAAATATTTTTTTAATTTATCTACAGTTTATATTCCAGTGATCCAAGTAACAATACTGATTTTTACCATAGGATGTGTAGCGTAGTACTTTTTATATAGATACCTTATATGTACAGAAGATTTTTACATACATAGATTCACTTAACCTATGTAATTCCCAAATTTCAGGTCTGCCTAATGCTTAAAGAGAATAAATGATTTGATAATACTCATGAGATTATGATATCAATCATGAAGTTCCTTTTCTAATTTATTGTAGAAAATTCTTAGAGTAGTTTTCTTCAGCCAGTTGACAGAGATCATCCTTTCATTTGCAACCCTATCTTTATTTTTAAGATCCTTTTTTTGACCTAGCAAGTGGCCAAGTTCCTTTGCCTCCTGCTAGGAGATTGCCAGGAGAAAATGTCAAATCCAATAGGACATCACAAGACTATGACCAGCTTCCTTCATCCTCAGGTGAGTTGACTAATAGCAGTAATAATAATAATATCTTATGTTTGCATAGTGCTTTTTGCTAGTCAGAGGACTTTTTTTCTTTACTTAACTTATTGAGCACTGCTTGCCTAAGAAAGTATATTTTTATCACCTTTACATTTCGCTTATAAAGCTTGTATTATAACAGGAAAGCCCACACCCTCAGGCAGAAAAAAAATCACAGTATTATTTCTGATCATTCAATAAAGTCACTTCATTCAAAGTCATTCTTTGAAGATTTTTTCAGTCTCTGACTTTTCTTTTGTCTTACGAGATTTGAGAAATGGGATGATCTTTATGTACTGAAGTGCCATGTTCTGTTATTTCTCCACTGAGGCAGAAATCTCTTTAGAATTAATACTAGCCCCAGACTAATATTATTAAATAAGTCATTAACTCTTATAGCTTACTTAGAGGTTCTGTGCATTGCTTTGCCACCATCTATCAAGTAGAAGACGTTGCATTTTAGTAAATGCAAGCCACACGCAAACAATTGGTAATGAAATGCTGCTGTTTTGCTTCCTTATGAGAGAGGTCTTCTTAATAGCTCCCAATCTTCTATAGTACCTTTATACCCTCGTTTTCATTATTTTTCATAGTACTTATTGCTACCCAAAATTCATTATTCATTCATTTCTTTTCTGTTATTTGTCTGCTCTGATGGTGTATTAAAATTTTGAAGATAGACTAGATAGTTTGGGTTCATTGCTTGCCTTGAGTCAGCTCAGATTGCTATTACTAAATATCATAGTCTACATATCTTAAACAGCAAACTTCGATTTCTCACATTTCTGGTGTCTGGGAAGTCCAAGAGCACTTGGTGTCTGGATGAGAGTCTTCTTCCTCATTCATAGGTGACCATCTTCTCTGTGTCCTTACCAGGTCAGGGGAATGCTCTGGGATCTCTTTTATAAGGATATGAATCCCTTTCCTGAAGGATACATACTCACTCGCTCCCAGATGCCATCACATTGGGCATTATGTTTCAGGTGGCAATTGAGGGGAGAGTAGGGCACAAATATTCAGCCCATAGCATTACTTTATCCCCAAGTACTTAGAAGAATGTACAGCATACTTCTTAGACAGACTGGTGGATGATAGGTGGGTAAAAGAAAAGAAGAGAATTTGATGTCTGCATTAAGTTTGAATACATGCATTTTATGAGCAATATGTTTGTGTCATGCTTGTAAACACTAGAACTCTTCGCTATGTAGATTTGTATCTTATTGCAGGATGTTGGAGTTTTAAGTTCAAACTCTGGTTTGCAGATTTGTGCGTTAGTAGACTACATTCTGTTAACTTCTGAATCCAGCTAATTAATGAGCTTCCTTGAGAATTGTCAGCATGTTGGTTCTTACTTGATGCTCTACACGAAAGATGCAAAATTCCCTCTATAGCTTTATGAATTTTGACGTTCGTATAGCTCAGAAAAACACAGAATATCTTATTAACGTTCTGAAGTTTTGTTCCGTGCTCTCTTTTCAGTTCACTTCTAGTTGCTTAAACGTTTCAGATATGTCTATGGTAGACAGTAGTTGTACCAAATGGATAGACTTGATGAAAATCAAGAAAAGACACTAACAGCCCCCATGTAGTATAAGGAAGCAAATCTTTATATTAGGACAGCAAAGCAGTTAAAAGGCAGCTTTGAGAAAAGTGCAATGACTGATTTAAAATAATATATTCAGTACCATCAACTCTGGATTAAAATAAACATTTTCAAGTTACAGGGAAAATTCTGGCTTACACACTATTTTCACAGCTTCTTTACTGTTTTCTCTATAATATGTGGGTATTGTAGAGCCTAGAAGAACATCACTCACATATATGAGTTTAAGTGGTATGAAATCCAATTAGCATTACACAAGAAATTTCAGGAAGAACTATGAGTCACAAATCTTGCTGAAACACCCCAAATTGCCACTTACCAGGAGCCTGAATAGTTTTTTTTCCTAAGGAATAAAATAGTACTGATTACTACTCTGAGGGCCTTAGCTAGTTGTGACATCTAATATTTCAACCTACTCCCTAAACTTTCTTTACAAACACAGACCACAGGAATAAAATACCTTCTTTCTACCTTATTGTTCACATGCAGCTCACTGGCTTATTTCACATCAGCAGAGACTGGTTTTGCCTTCTGAATCAGGTCATCTTTCCATTCAAAACCTGAGGCTGGATGCTATGTAACTTCAGGATCCTAATAGCCTTATTTTTCAATAAATAATCTTTTAATTTAAGCCTTTTCAAAATGACCTAATAAGATATCTGGTATACCTTAAAAGTTAAATTTCTATTATCTTTCATGGCTGTCTACATAATTTAGAGTAACTTATTTATGTACAAGCTTTCTGAGAAAGAGTAATTCCAAAGAATTCAGAAATACAGTTTCATTGATTTAAAAATATCTTCCTGTTCCTCTTACCTAAAAAGATTCCGTGTGTGTGTGTGTGTGTATGTGTCTTCCTGAATGCATAGATAGACAGATGATAGATATGTAGATATACATATTTACATATATCTACATACACAAAGAGCCTCCCAAGTGTTTTATTCCTCCCAAAGAAGATATTTTATGATTTCTGTTAAGTTTTTTAAATGTAACAATGTAATTAAATGAGTATGTCACAAAAATAGTTAACGAAAAATAAGATGCTACTGGTTTGTGTTAAATTCACATATACCTGTATTGGGACAGATTTTTCACTAAAAATCTACTTATTTCTTTATATGAAATTACTCACATGTAGTTTATATCTATAATAGCAATGTGTGAGTTTTAAAATTTTGTCAGTTTGCTTTTTCTCTTTCAAGTGTTACACTTGAAAACAATCCTGATTTTCAAAATGGGGATAATACCTATTTAACATAAGATAGAATATTAAAGACTTTACTTATAAATATAATAAATAAAAATAGTATTGAACATAAAATAATGAGCTATTACTGTCATGTTCTTATGTCTTCATTTTTGTCTCACTGTTTCAATGCTATCTTTCTTTAAAAATCTGCACAGATGTTTCACAAGCACCAGCCAGACCCCCCAAACCAAGACCTCGCAGGACTGCACCAGAAATTCACCACAGAAAACCCCATGGGCCTGAGGCAGCATTGGAAAATGTCGATGCAAAAATCGCAAAACTCATGGGAGAGGGTTATGCCTTTGAAGAGGTGAAGAGAGCCTTAGAGATAGCCCAGAATAATGTCGAAGTGGCCCGAAGCATCCTACGAGAATTCGCCTTCCCTCCTCCAGTCTCCCCACGTTTAAATCTATAGCAGCCTGAACTGCGAACACCAAAATGTAAAGGAGTTGACAAATATTCCAGGAATATGGAGAAGAGAAGATTGAGGTGGAATTCAAGAGCAAAGGAGTCTCCTCATGTGGCATCTTGAGAAGCGGGGCCTTCGAGTGCAGCTTCTGAGAAGACTGCTGCTCAGTCAGGATGTCGATGCTGTGACTTCCTTGTTTTTGCTAGCCATACTTTTAAATCAGGGTTGAACTGACAAAATAATTTAAAGACGTTTACTTCCCTTGAACTTTGAATCTGTGAAATGCTTTCCCTAGTTTACACGTTGGCAAATGCAGTTTTTGTTTTTGTTTTTGATACTTGTACTGTGTTCTTGACAGACCCTTTGTAGAGTGGTCAGGTCTGCTGTGATACTTCCTGTCGCCTCCCTTGCGAGGCACCTTTTCATTTTGATCTTTCCTTCTGCATCCCAACACCCAGTCCCAGGTCCAGTTCCATTTCTTCCCTTCACAGGATGCTCTGAAGGTTCTGATTTTCAATGTATCAAACTAATGCAAAAAGAAAAAGATGTGTGTGGTCTTCACTACTGAGTCTTTGGAAATGATCACTGTTGAGAGATGGGAAAAAACCTGAATGTAGAAAGCATTTATTTGTCAATAACGATCTCTTATAAGAGGTTTTTAAATAATGTAAAGGAGCCTCCCTTGCTAAAGTTTTGTAACTTTTAATTTTCCATATTTTCCATCTCTGTCATCCCAGGGTGCCATGATGCTATAAAAATCTGAAACATTAGAAAACAACTACAGATGTGGGAGAAAAACACTTGCACAGCACAGTGCCATCCTGAAGTAATATAATGAGGTCCCTGATAATTATGCTTACATTACTTTCAGGCATGCTGTAAAAGAGGACCTTTTTCCTAAACCATATTAATAAACTTCAGGTACAATCATCGACATGTCTTTCCCAAAGTAGAATAGAGTTCATTTCTTGTTTAAGTGATTATACCCTAGTTTCTAAGAGCTGTGAGAACAACTTCATAGCACAATGGAAACGTTAAATTTTTGATGCACTGTTAAGTGCCAGTGCTACTGTGGTGACATCTTTTTTTTTTTTTTTTTTTGCAAAGTTCTTAGTAATTTCCTCTCTGCCATCAAATTAGGGTTCATATTTAAATTTGTAGATATTCCCATTCATTGCTCTATTTTGCTCCATTCAATCAAGTGAAAAGTTAACATAGTTTTGCCTTTTTTGCAAAGTGGTGGTTGGTTCTTCAGAAACTGTGTATTACTTTTAATAAATCTGAAAATTTTTATTGAGCACCTGCAGTGCTTGGCAATGTTAGACACTGTGTTTTTAAAGCACAAACTCTTACATGCTGATTGTAGCATATTTCGTTATTTTCATATGCATTTTGTTATGGTAAGAGTCTCTGATGGATGAAGCCTAGAAGGTTTCCACCACAGCTTCAGAATTTTCCAGCATCTTGCTTTTTTCATTCAGTGTGTCTATGCAAAATGATTGAACCCACAGATAGTTTTCTAAATGTGGACTTAATTGTGGGTTTGTGCATCCTTCTACCACTCCTTTTTTCACACCCAGTGTGAGGTGAAAAGATGCTTTAGATAATGAGTCTCTCATCATACTTGAGAGAACATGGCAGAACATCTGATAGATTTGATAAGATTAATGTTGTACATGACTCATGCAGATAACCAGGTTGACCCAGGGAGGGAAACTAATGTATTCCTTTGAAAAGTGATACTTGACCTTTCTTTACTGGCTTTCATGGGATGAGATGATACTTGAAGACTCACAGGCTTTGCTTAGTTTGTGCTCTTATATGAATTTGTTCAGGTGATTTAGAGCTGGTTTTGTCCCTAGAAGGGAAATTTTAATTTGCCTTAGATGATCTTCCTTTGAGTAGGTATGAGTATAGTTTTTTATACTTTTTTAAATTGTACTGGCCAATTGTCTATTTCTTTATGAACTCTGTGTTAACATCGTCATGATTTTTCATTTGTTTTATCAGTGTCTGATGTCACATTGGGATAGCCTTGCATATTTTGGCCTTCTTGTGACTTGCTAATGATAGGTACAATTTAAGAGCCAAAAATTACCACTTCGTTGTGATAACATTCTTTATAGATTAGGCAGTGATGTAAAATAAGAATATTGGAAACATAGCACCTTCTCATCCAGTTTTCAAACTATGTGAAAATTTTTAGTGAGAATTAGAAAGGAGAATATAAATATATAGTGAGGTTTGAAAAATAACTTTTGCAAAAACTTTTTTAGCCTCCACCAAATCCATGTCTTAAACTCAAGAGCATCCTTCTGTTTTGTCATTAGCAATAGTGAAAAAAGTCCTACAGCATTCAAAGGAAAGAGGGACACTTTGTATCAGACATTATCATGAAAACTCATTGCTATCCACTGCTTATGATATCACACAGAAAAAGAACTTTTTCAGGAAATAATTAAACCAAAATGTTTTTATTATAAAAGTGACTACCTGTTAATACTTAGAAATGATCTAGACTTTGTTCACTGTGATCCAAACATTTCTCCTATTTCTCAAGATTCGCTAAGATGATTGTTTTTAAGCCAATAGTACAATCCCTAAGATTACAACAAATCTGGCCAAAATTAGCCCTCCCATATATTTCAGGTATATAAAGACATGGATTTATCCTCAGTGATATTCCAGTAAATATATTTCCAGAATATTTTTGGGTATCTTTGGTGGTTTTTTTTTTCACCCATGATATCTGACATAGCCAAATATTTTAGAATTGAATTGGAGCATTTTATGCTGAACTTGGACTTCCTTCCGCAAATACAACCTTTGCTTCTTTGTTTCCTCTTGCCCACATTGTGGTCTTAATAACCAAGCCCTAATTACAACCTCAAAGGGCCCATTTGTTAAGTCAGTATTTCGCACACCAAGAACACTTGCAAAGATTTCTTCATAATGTGAACTTTTAAATTTTTCAGTTCCAGAAGCATTTCCTAAAGGTTAGATACCACGTTTTCTTTCAGATTTTCAACTTGAATCTTTAGTTTGCACTGAATTCTCTTAATTTGGTTTAAAAAAAGAAAAGCATCTCTTAAACTGACAGATTCAGAAGTAAATTACAGATATTTTAAATAATAATACAGGTACTTCCTGTTAACGTGGAAATTTAGTGCTTCTAGGAAGAGTTTCCAGAAAAAAAGACAGCAATAGAGTGAAGTGTTTTCTTCCCAGTTCTATTTCATTGTTTTTTAAATGCCTTTTTAAAACTTGTCTAATGTGGCAAAATAGTTATGTGTTCAATTAATTTATATTTTATTCATTCTTTTTTCAATTCTGGTTATTATGTAACCTCGAGTACTTTATCTGTTCTTTTAATGTATTTTATAAATGAATGTTAACAAAATAGAGTCTGTACTTTATTTTTCAAATGAACACAAATATTTTAGAGCACTTCTATGATGTAATTTTTCTTCTTCATGTTAAGAAAAAGATAATACTAAAGTGCAGAATGGCTATCCTAGATGATTTTGTTATTAAACACCAAGACCATATGTCTATGAAGATAGTCTGAGAAGCAAACTATTCTCATGATATAGAACTGAAAGTCAAAGTTTTATTAAGGTTTCAGGTAATAAATACCATTATCTGAGAAAGGTTGAAGGTCTTCAAGATGATAATATTAGATAATTGATAATTCCTGGTTAACAGTAACATCTGTTTCTGTTTAAATCCTTGACTCTTCTAATCATTGGTTACTGGCCAGAATATCCTGGAAAGATAACAATAGATTTAAAAAAATGTTAATAATTTCTTCTAGGTCAAGAATCATAGCAGAATGTTGTGAAGTTAGTTGGAACATGCAAAGGTCCATGTGTAATAAAGATAACAATAATTGTTCCCTCAAAGTACAGGCAGAGAAATGGAAGATACACATAAGCAAGTAATTCCATACAACAAATGTTGCATGTAAGTTGCCACATTGTAACCCCTCTGGCTTTCTACAGCTGGGTTTCCAGGCCTGCATACCTCTTTATACTCTCCCTTTGCAGCCCCTCTTTGCTTCTGCTGAGCCTGCAATTGCCCAGATGTGTCCCATGTCGTCACTACTGCTAGCCCTTCCTAATATTATACTTTCCCTTTTTCCAGCTTGGCTAACTCTCACTTCAGAAAGAAGCTCATGTCTTGCCTCTGTGAAGCACCTTCTGACTTATCCTACAAGCTGAGTTGAGTATGCCAACTTTTATGTCTCACAACACCAATATTATAACACTATGTGATCATGCAATTACTTCAAAAATGGGCCCATCTAGCATGAACTCTAGAAGAAGGAGCTTATGAACTTTATGTATGTGTACCAATCTCCTAACATACAGTCCCTCACATAGTACAAAAATAAAATGTTTCTAGTGAATGGACAATTGCCCTCTTGAGCAGCAGCCCATAATAGAAACAGTCCTGAGTCCTAGTCCTAGCTATCTGTTTGGAAAGACATCTTTTTGCTTTAATCTTGCTTTCTTCACTTATAGACTAGAAGATAGAATAAAACAACATACTAATGTGATTACATTAGATGCTTTAGTTTTCATTCATTAAATGGGGAGCAAAAATTAATGACAGATTCACAAGGTAAAAGCTAGATTCAAATACATATTTTGATAAAAGCTTAAATCTACTTTTTGCTAACTTAGGCTAAGAGAATATTTTCACCAAGAAGTTATGGCAAACATTTCTAGTCAAATATGACGACTCAAATTCCCAGGGCAATGTAAGAGTACAGACTCTGGGATTGCCACCCTACCATCAGTCCCCACCTCTGCCACTTCCAGGATCTATGGCCTTAGGAAGCATTCTAACCTCTTTGTGCTTGCCTCATCTGTAAAATGGAAATAGCAGCCATATCCATAGTAAATGTTCAATGAAAGAACTGAGTGAATACATTAAAAAAAAAAAAAAACTTAGAGCAGTGCCTAGGTTAGCAAATGCTTAGTAAATAATAGCTGTCATTATGATGCACCCTGCCCAGGGAACTTAGGCCAGTTTCTCCCAGAACTGACAGCAATGATTTCTCCAATTCACATGGCAAAGGGTTGTTCTGGCAGTTTTTAAGACCACACTGGGAAATGATTATTATGGTTAAACTGAGGACATTTGAGACCTTAAAAAGTAATAAGCTATCCATCCTGCCAATTGATTGTAAAGTTCAGTTTTTTACTTTGCGCTTGTATTACCATCATGCACTCAACCTGTGCTTACAATTCAAACCCAAGACAAGGAAAGTACAGATTAGAGATGGATGAGCTGGCAGGAATGCCAAGGGCAGTCTGGAGTGCTCAAGAGCTGCTTTCAATTTGGAAATCTAGTTCAGGTAAAATAGTAATTTTGTTCTTGGGATGTGGAGACAAGTAACATAATGAGTGGGTCACTTTAGATCTCTCAGACCAAATGTGACAGAATATTGAAGAGGACCTTTCCTTTATTGATGGAATGAGGCTAAAGCTCCAGTGCTGCAAACAGCACGATATCTTACTGCTTCCATTTCCAAAAAACCCGCATAGTAAGGATATGTAGTACTCATTAAGAGGATGGTGACAGAACCCTGTCTCCAGCAGCACCCCTGTCCCAAGATAACAAGCAGAAAATTATGGGCTCATGGCTTGACCTGGCAGAAGTGAATGACAGATTGAGTCCCCCTCTTCCAATCCAAGTAATGACAGTTCCAAAAGAAAGCTGATGGTAGACACTAGAGAACTGGCATCCCATTCCATTAATGTACACAATGGGCTTACGGATATGCCGTCTATAAGCACCCGAATAGAGTGGAGCAGTACCATAGAAGGTCAACAGTGAACAAGGTGGCAGGCATCACCACCATTGTAAAGCTAGATCATATTTCCCTGGGACACATAGGCCCATGTGAAGGAAGCTGAGCTTAGAACCACCTTGATAGGACCTGAGAAGACCACCTGCCGGGAACACAAACCCAAGCAGCTTTGACGTGCACTCTGCTGGCCCAGGCACTAGGGAGTCAAATCAGTGGATATTTACTATCAGACAATACAATGAGTGGTCCACTAAAGAACATAAGCATAGGTTCAGTGGCAATGGCGCCACACTTGGGAACTCAGAATATAGGCAAAAGTGACAGTCAAGGTCACACTCCAATGACACCTGTGAAGTTAAAATAATACTACTTTCTTTTATAAACGTTTCTTGCCCTGTCCCAAATCTGAAGAGGCAACAGCTTAGAATGAAAAGTAGTGAAGAGGAAGGAGTAGATCTTGCTCATTCTCTGCTCTTAGTTCCTGAAATAGAAGCCCAGTCAAGACAGGACTGTGGACAGGCTAGGCTGAATGTAGGTGACTAAACAAGGACAAAGAGAGTTAATAGTCAAAAGCAGCAATTAGAGAACAAGAAAACAATTTTGTTGTCAGCCCAGATTTTTCAGTACATTGGTTACTAGAAAAACAAAGAACATTACATTAAAAATAGACTTTGGTGGTTTCCTTAAGTTATAAGAAGTTTGCAGTTTGAGACCCATCACTATAGGGTCTTCTCTGGTAAGATGCTGTGGCCTGGACACATACAGGAAATTCTGCCTGACAGGCTCAGTTGTGTCCAGCCCTCAAGGGGCAAAGTCTGGCTGGCCTCTGCCTAGTCACTCAAGCACAGCCCCTCTCCTGTCAGCCAATAGTGTAGGACCCAGTCTCTTCCCAACTATCCCTTCACTGCTGGCATTTCTTCTCCCTTAATGAACTACTCAAATCTTGTTGGTTAGCTTGTTTATAAAGTAAATATGTGTGTTGTGAAATAAAGCAGCTGGCAGCAACTTACCTATTACATCAATGGCTATCCCTAAATTACTCTCAAAAGGAACCAGTGTCCCTAAAGAACCATTCCAAGTAAGACACAAGGAAGTTAAACTTAACTACAGGTGCCTAGGCTTTAAGCTATTAAGACATGAATCAAAAATAGCAGTACCAAGGTGTTTATTTGTATAAATATTTAATCAAGCAATGTATAATGTCTATCTGGAATTTCTTACAAAATAAGGAGGAGTAGATGGTTGGCAGCAAGACTAATATATCTCTATTGCACATTATAATCAGCACTAACATAATTAAACATTTATATAGCATTTTGGACTTGGGAAAGTTTTATATTTTGTTTTCAAGACTGTAGATCTCAAAATTCTTGTGAAGCAGATACATTTCACTTAATACCTTTTCTTTGCAGATAGAGAAAATTTACAAGCCAGAGATCATAGATAATTTTCTCCAGGTCACTCAACAATTGACAAGAGACAGATTTATAATCTGCCAATTAGTCCCATTGCACATTAGATATGAAAATTAGACCTAAACACAATCAGGCAAGATCTAAACAATCCTTTCACAGCAAGAAAGGAAATTTAAAATGAGTGACCTTCCCCTATTACCACCATTGTATATGGGAGCAGACCATATACATTTATGTTAGAAACATGATACGTTTACCTATTGACCAGTGTCTTTTTAAAGAATACTTTGTTAATTTGTCAGCCCTATCCTATAAAGTAAACAGAATTATATAGTTGACGCTGGACTACACACTGCAAATTTTGCAAAGCAATCTATGACTTGAAAGTATGAGTGAGTTAAGTGATCCATATTCCAAAATGGCTGAGTACCACAGATCTTTTTGGCTAGCCAGTTTCAATGCATATAAGTACCTATATAAAAAAATTATTTACTGCTTTTATTAAAAAGTGGGAAAGAAACAAACCTATGTTACAGCCTGCTATTTCTCAGCAAAAGTAAAGAGGTCTAATTGCTAGATAGAAGGAAAAGCTAGTAAGTAGAGATGGGGAACAAATAATTGTCTCACAGGTTAAATAAAAAAACATCTGTTTCATTTGAGAAGCTTCAATGTGGAGCACAGAAGCACTTTTGGCAGCCGTGCTATTAATCTCTAAGAGGCTATAAACTTGTCATGGTAAGGGCACTGCAAATTCTGCTTCAGTATACTTTGCTTTTCACATTAATGACATTTAAGGGCACTTATACCTCTCATCATCACTTCAGTGTTTGAGAAGACCAATGTTCCTGTTTTCATCTCAAAGGACCACTACCACTTCAGCATATGACTCATCAATCCTTTGTGATATTAGCCCCTTAAATTAAATTTTCTTGGAGTTGAAGATGACAGCAAGAGCACTTACTTCCCTTTAAGGATCACATACTTTCTTTCCACCTGGAAAGTTCAAAAGTAATCAAACCCTCCACTGTTGATTAAAAACAATTCAGATATCAATAAAGAAATTCAAGCTTAATTTTCCTTAGGAGAATGGTCAGGATGTTTGGTAAAACACACTACAGAAAAAGATATGCTAAACTATAAAATAGTTTTTGCAGTGCTTAA